AACTAAGCCCATGCGCCACAACTACCGAGCCTGCACTCTAGAGCCAGTGAGCCACAACTACTGAAGCCTGCGCGCCTAGAGCCCACGCTCCGCAACAAGAGAAGCCACCGCAATGAGAAGCCCGTGCACCACGATGAAGAATAGCCCCCGCTCCCCACAACTAGAGAAAGCCCACACGCAGCAACGAAGACCCAATGCAGCCAAAAATAAATAAAATAAATAAATTTATTAAAAAAAAGGAAAGAAAGAAAATACTGTGTTTACTGTGTTTGACAGACTGACAGATAGGAAGGCTGGGACACTCCAGAACCAACCTGCTCACATTTGGATGCTTAAAAGTCCTTGCCTATTTTAAGAACAAAATATTTGTTCACTTTTTTCTCCTGAGGCTAAAATACGATTTAAGGATATGTATCTAACACTCCAAGATAAAAAGGAACATAAATGCAGCTTCCTAAAGAATAAATCTACATTGACAAAATACATATCCTCCCCAAAGATTATAAAAGTCACTGCCATAATACTTGCTCCAAGCTGGCTTCTTCCAACCGTGCACTTCTTGCACTGTTTTCCTAGATAACCTTAGTCACAAAGTTCGAATTTTCCAAATTCATAAGGAAGCCTACAACGAGATCATCACACCTCAGGCCCTGAGTGTCTGGGACCAGAATTTCTTCATTTTTTTTTTCTGCCTAACCATGCCTCTCCTTTCTGATCAAATTCTTTTCTTTTTCAGCAATGTAAATTGTTTCTCCCCCCCCAGATCTATTCCTATGTTGGTGTTTTAATCCCTGGAGTGAGGAAAAAGTAATACCACATTCTTACCTAGGATACTTGATAGAATGCCAAGGGTACTATCCAAAGACAAAAATCTCTAGATAAATTCAATGCATCTGCGTGGAGGACCAACTTTAACTAGAGTGGAAGTGGGGGTGCTAGCCCTAAAACAAACGTAAAGACAACAAATAAAAATCACCTAAAATTTTAATTAAAAAAAGAGAGATTAAAAAAAGAAATTCCATGTTTGCTTGCGGTGGAAGAACCCCTTATAGTTCCTTCACTCTCCTCTCCTGTTAAGTATACTTCAGTGGAAAGGTTTGACAAACACTAAACTTAGGGAGTGACAGAAGATAAAGGAACATTTATATTCATTAAGTAGACATTTATTGAGAGCTTTCTATGCACCTGACACTTTGGTAAATGCAAGGAATATACAAATGAAAAAGCATAGGTCTCTACCCTTAAGACTATTAAAATCCTAGCTGAATATTAAAATCTCATGAGACATTGTAAAAAATGCTGCTGGTCAGACGCCACCATCGAGAGATTGATTTAGTCTCAGGTTGGGCCCTGACATCACGAGGGTTTTTGTTTTTTGTTTTAAATAAAGATTCCCCCAGGTGATTGGCAGCAGGGTCAAAAACCACATAGCGTTACACTGACCAGTTTCCTGCTGTTTCTGACTAAAATGAGCATTTCTACCCAGGAAAAAAGTACGCATAAACTGCAATTCACCTATAAAAAGAGAATCTTAAAAGTATGGGGCTCTTGTTTAACAAAAAGGAGGAAGGAGGGAAGAAGAAAGGAAAGAAGGAAGAAATCAATTTAGAGATATTTGAAAACAGATTCTTAGGAACAAGAAGGTATAAGATAGTATTAGGCCAGGCCAGATGACAGAAGGTATCCAAACACACCTCACCTTTTGTCATTTATTTCTTTTTTTCTCACCTACACCCACTCCACACCTGGGATCAGGAAAGATTTTCAGACAAAATGAAAAAAAAAAAAAAGAAAAGAAAAAACAGGAAAAGCAAAACCCTCATGTTGCTTAAATACAAAGGTATTTGCTAAATTAGGATTTCATAAGAGGCGGAGATACAGAGATTTGTTTCCAGGTTAATTAGAACAATCCCAGGCAAAAAAATAGAAGAGTCTTCTCTCAGAAGGTGAATTGGCCTTATGCTTTCTGCAGACTTGGCATCAATAGAGAGATGATCAACTCCTTTAGGCAGGAAGTTAGAAACATTTTGTTTTTCAGGTTTTCAATTTTTGTAAGTGGAAATGGGGGATGAGGGAGCAGTGCATACAGAGGGAGTAAATGCTGTTATTTCAAAATGAGATTAGCATTAGCATATAGAGAAGAAGCCTTGGTTGGAAAGTACCAGCATGTATAGGAAAAGTCATTCCAATATACCAGCAGCCAACTAGAGCCTCAGGACAAAATAAAGCTAAATTATTTTCTCATTTTTTCACCTCCAGGCCACCTTGAGCATAACTTGATAATCAGGGAGCATAAGAGAAAAAACAGTTAAAGCAAACTGTCAATCTCTCAAAACAAATGAATAAACAAATCACCCAAGAAGTAAAACCAAAAGGGTAAAAATTCCCTTACAGTTACTTCCAAATTATGATTATAGCTAACACATAATGCCTACTATGTGCCAAGCACTGTCCTAAGCAATTTATTTATATTACTAACTTAATCCTCACATCAACCCTATGAGGTGGGCACTATTATTAGTTCCATTTTACTGAAGAAACTGAGGCAGAGATATTAAGTAGCTAATCACAGATTATGAGGCCAATAAATGGCACAGCAGGGATCTGAACCAGTCAGTTGGCTCTGTGCTCTAAACCACTAAGTTACACTGCCTCATTTATGTGAGAAAACTATTTTTAGGCCTGGCTTTGGTCAAAAGTATTAAGGGGCTTCCCTGGTGGCGCAGTGGTTGAGAGTCCGCCTGCCGATGCAGGGGACACGGGTTCATGCCCCGGTCCGGGAAGATCCCACGTGCCGCGGAGCGGCTGGGCCCGTGAGCCATGGCCGCTGAGCTTGCGCGTCCAGAGCCTGTGCTCCGCAACGTGAGAGGCCTGCGTATCGCCAAAAAAAAAAAAAAAAAGTATTAAAGTTGCAGCTACTTTCTTTCTTTCTTTCTTTTTTTGGCCTTGTGGCCATGCTGCGCAGCATGTGGGATCTTAGTTCACGCCCCCACCTCCCCACCCCCAATCGTGCCCCATGCAGTGGAAGGGCAGAGTCCTAACCACTGGACTGCCAGGGAATTCCCTGTAGCTACTTTCTTGATACAACTGTAAGAAATGGTTCAATAAATAATGCTGCACAAATTATTTTTTGGTTCTTCATCAGAGTAGTTAATTTCCTAAAAACAAAATTCTTGCTTTTGTGTTATTTGTTCTTTAAGAATAAAAGAGGTGAGGGGAGCTAAAGCTGAGCCTCTGGAAATTTGTTTTACCATCAGGTTAACAGCTGCCCTTTGACATCCCTTAACAATACAAACATCACAGTCACCCTAGTTAGAAGACCCATCTAAATCCACCAAAATAAATCATACAGAAAAAAACTTGGGATTCCCTGGCGGTCCAGTGGTTAGGACTCTGCGCTTGTACTGCAGGGGCCCCAGGTTCAATCCCTCGTGGGGAACTAAGATCCTGCAAGCTGCACTGCACAACCAAAAAACAAACAAACAAAAAACTTACAGGAAGAGGTCAGAAGGGTGAGGTAATCTACAAGACTTCCTTTCCCCAAATTCAGCATTTCATCTCACTAGCTAATTCACTTCAGAATCTGTAAAGACATTCACTTGGTACTTCCAGTATAGGGGCAGAGAAAGATCATTAGACATCTCAACCCTCCCACAGACATGCCACTTAAAGGTCTAAAATAGGAGAGTAGGGAATGAGCAGCAATACAAAAACATGAAATAGGATTATCTTACTGCCCTGTACTTAACTGATTATCTTTACTTTAGACGCAAGTGAAAATGCAGAGGGAACAGCTTCTGCCCAAGGATATGACTGGCATGCACAGTCACTGAAAGAAGAGGCTGACCCAAGACCAGATCCTTTTAAAAGACATACAAATCATCCTCAGCCTGCAACTGCTTCTCAATTACATAGCTTCTGACAGCACCTTTGTCCTCATTTACTATGGTCCTCTGCCATCCAGCCCTCCACACCTAGAACTCTTTGCTTGGATAAGAATTGGTTCTCTTTCATTTACCTTCTTAGTCCCCAAGAACCCCACCTATATTTAAACCCAATCAAATAAGGATTCTTAACTGCAGAGTGACTGCCATAGGTCTCTCCATTTCCAGAGAAACTAGTCAATAATGTAGTAACAGAGCAAAGAACATTGCACTAGAAAATTGTGATTTATGCTTCTTTCCACCATTCAACAATTGTAACCCAAGGAATATAACTCAATCTCCCTAGGCTTCTCTTACTTCTGACATAAAGCTACCACCTTAGTGGCCTTAAGGCAGAGGACCAGCTCATATATTAACATCTCTTTCATATAATTATTTGATAATTCAACTCAACAAGCATTTGTTTCTCCAAACTCTGCTTCACTGGGGAAAAAATGATAAGTGAAACTCAAAATCCTTACAACTAGTGATAAGGGAAGCTTAAGGAACTATTTTCTTGAGAAACCACAACTGTGAGGCGTTTTTTATTAGAGTCATTCTACATCTCTTACCCTAGCATTCAAAACCTTTCAATACAGCTCCTCCACTCCAGCCAGTTCATTTCCATCTTGTTTTTGCTTGTGTTGTTAACCTTTCTCTGAACCTGTAACACTTTTCTATCTCTTGCTTGCTTCTCTAAGATCCCAAATCTGAGTTCATCTTTTCCATTAGCCTTGTCCCACACCAATCCCTCACTCAGCTTTCTATATATCATGTACTATGTTTTCGCTTACTAGCAATTTTATAACTTGATTTTCCCTTTGGGCTCTTTTTAAAGTCTTGGATAGAATTCAGGTTCATTATCAAAGGAATGACGGCTGATAAGTAAGCCTCACAGTTAGGTTTGGGAAAGAATTTCATTTTTAATATAGTAAACTGAGGGTCTGAGAAGTTTCAAGGCTGTGAACACCTGGGCTGGCACTGGTTTGAGACAACCTACAACAGGGGAAGTGAGAGAATAACCACCGCACTTCTCAAGAGTTGGTCTAGGCATGATTCTGGTCCCTAACCAGTTACCTGTTTAGGGTCCTGTATGCACCTTCCACATTCCCTTCCTGTACCATCACAGTTCTGGCAATGAACTTCAGATGTTTTGCCATGACCTTGGATTTAAGTCTTCAGTCTGCAGGACCTAAAGTATGACGGAGAAAGGGGTAGTAAAGTATAGAGACCAGCTAATAAAGAGAAACACAACAGAATACACAACGACGTAGCTTATTCAGGAACCGGAAATGCAACGGGCTCTGGAACATGCGCGACTGGGGCACCTGCAAGTCCTCATATCCTAGAAAGTATACGCGACTTGTTATCAAGATTCGCCCGATCTCTTTGCCAATACAAACCCTACCATAGGGAAGAAGACAGACGGTAGCAGGGCGTCCCCACGTAGATTTATCTGGCCGGTCATGGGAGACCAGGACGCGCCGCAGGCGTCCCCTCTCCCTCCCAATTACCGCTCCTCGTCCCAGGACGGTTTGGGGTGGGAGCCGGGAACAGGGTCTCTCCGTGCTTGGAAGGGGGGAATCGCGAGAACCCCGCCCTCCCGCCACACCTGCCTCACTTTACCCTTCCCCCGCACAAGGTCCTCAACGCTCGGCGCCCAGCCGACTGGAAGCCCGCCCCGACCGGAAGCGGAAGTTGCGTGATCTCCAGCGCCGCGCGAAGACAATGAGGCTGAAAGGGAAATGAAGCTACGTGGAAACCATGGCAACCGTCCTTCTGGCCGGGGTTGGCTGTTTCTCTAATCCTCCCCCACCACCGCCAACCCCCGGGCCTGGACTCAACACCTGACAAAGCAAAATACTTGTTGCCTTAAATTCCGCCCTAAACGGATTCCTCGCTTTCTCGTGGAGTCGCCGTCCTTCGGCATCAGAGGTCAGCCCGATTCCGTACCCCTTAATCCTATTAAATCTTTTTTTTTAAATTGAAGTATAGTTGATTTAAAATGTGGTGCCAATCTCTGCTGTAATCCTATTAAACCTTAAATAGATAATCCATTTCTTTTTCTGGAAGGAAAATAAGAATAGGCGAAGCTTCCAGAGCATGCTTCCTGTTTTCGCCAAGGACAGATTCCTTGAGATCTGCTCTCCGGATGGAAAAGAGTTTTACCCCCTCATCTGCCTGAAAACTAAGGAAAAAAAAAAATGAAATGAACATACTATCAGATTCCTATAACATCACCTTCTCAGACATTTCACTAAATACAGTGAAATCACTGAAGAAAGAATCAATACAGGGCTTCCCTGGTGGCGCAGTGGTTAAGAATCCGCCTGCTAATGCAGGGTACACGGGTTTGAGCCCTGGTCTGGGAAGATCCCACATGCCGCGGAGCAACGAAGCCCGCGCCTAGAGCCGGTGCTCTGCAACGAGAGAAGCCACCACTATGAGAAGCCCGTGCACCACATCAAAGAGTAGTCCCCACTCGCCTCAACTAGCGAAAGCCTGTGAGCAGCAGCGAAGATCCAACGCAGACAAAAATATAAATTAAAAAAAAACAAGAATTGGGAAACACCTGCAGGATTTAGAATCAAAGACTCTTTTATGTCAGCTTCTATCTCATTTGTCTCCTAGTGACAGTATAAATAACTCCTTTTTTATTTCTTCCTCATTGTGGAAACAGCTTTCCTTTTATTTTATTCGTATGTTACTTCTACATATATATCATTTTATGGTTATTCACATATGTTCAGATCTACTGGAATACAGTAGGGAAAGGCGCAGAAGAAAGTAGGTCCTAACCAGGTACTTGTGTAATAAGGTTCTTTGGTTACCTCCCCTAAAACACAGAGGCACATACACACACACAGATGGATCGTCATCAATTATGCTAATAGACCTCACACAAAAACTGAAGCCTTGGACTTCCCTGGTGGTGCAGTGGTTGAGAATCCACCTGCCAATGCAGGGGACACGGGTTCGAGCCTCGATCTGGGAAGATCCCACACACCGCGGAGCAACTAAGCCTGTGCACCACTACTGAGCCTGCACTCTAGAGCGTGCGAGCCACAACCACTGGGGCTAGGGCCCAAGCTCTGCAACAAGAGAAGCCACCACAATGAGAAACCTGCACACCGCAAGGAGGAGTAGCCCCCGCAACTAGAGAAAGCCTGCACACAGCAACTAAGACCCAATAAATAAATAAAAATAAATAAATAAATTTATTTTTTAAAAAAATCTAAAAATAAAAAAAACCCTGAAGCCTGCTTTAGAGTAAGCCAGGTTCAAAGTACCAAAATAGAGCTAGACTGGAACATGATTATGCTTATCAACAAACTTTTATTGAATGCCTACTTTGTGTCATGCCGCTGACTCTTGGACTACCAAAAGACAGTAAGTAGCCATAAAAAATAAATAGTAAAACAAGGTAGCATATATTGAATGCAAAATAAATTACATAGGCAACATAATATAGTGTAAAGCAAGGATTGGAAGTCAGGAGATCTGGATTCTACGCAAATTCTGATACTGAGGCATATGACCTTGAACAAGTCACTTAAACCAGTAGTCTACAAAGTACTGCCTACCGATCAAACCCAGCTCCACTCTTGCTTTTGTAAATAAAACTTTATTGGAACACAGCTGTGCTGTTTGTTTATATATTAGGTATAGTTGCTTTGGGCTACAATGGCAGAGTTGGGTAGTTGCAGCAGAGATGTATGGCCCACAAAGCATATATCTATCAGGCTCTTGCTAAGCCCTGACTTAAACGCTCAGTCTATTTCCTCATTTGTAAAATGGAACTAATATCTGCTGTCAATCACACAAAATTTGTCATGGGAATCAAATGGGATAAAATATAAAAATACTTTGAAAGATAAGAAGAGGAAAAGTAGCATTTTTGAGAACCTACAATATACCAAACCTTGTACTAAGCAGTTTATGTACCTGACTTCATTTGAAGGAGTAAAGGGCCAAAGACTAAGCATATATATCTTTAATGGAGCGAATAATTGGGAGAAGGACTTGAGTTAGTCATGGAAAGAAGTGTAGGGCTTAGTTAACAGAAGCAGGAAAGGCTGGGCAAGGTGAATGGCATGAACAGGAGTTTAGAGGCAAAAAGGCTTACAGTGTTCAGGGCAAACAACAAAAACAACAAAAACCTGGAACAGAGGGATCATACAGGGGAGCAGAGGGAGAAACAGAGACCTTGACTAAAGGCTCTAGACTTTCTTCTCAAAATACCAGGGAGCCATTGAATAGGTAATGACATGCAAAGCATTGTTCCAGGAAGACTAATCTTGTTATCAGTGAGAAGGGTTTAGAGGTAAGAGAGGCTATTGCTATAGTTAAGGTTTACACCAGAGAGGTGGCAATGGAATGGATAGGAAGAAATAGATTTCAAGAGACATTCCAAATACAGAATAAAAGGGATTTGGTGATTAAATACACCACGTTTTAAGCCTAGTTATATAGAAAAATGATGGTACCGGGGCTTCACTGGTGGTCCAGTGGGTAAGACTCTGTGCTCCCAATGCAGGGGGCCCAGATTCAATTCCTGGTTGGGGAACTAGATCCCGCATGCCACAACTGAGAGTTCGCATGCCGTAATTAAGAGTCCACATGCCACAGCTAAAGAGCCTGCACGCGGCAATGAAGATCCCGTGTGCCACAACTAAGACCTGACGCGGCCTCAATAAATAAGTAATAAATAAATATTTTAAAGAATTAAAAGAAAAATGATGGTACCATCATTAACAGAAGAAAAAGAGGTTGTAAAAAGGCAGAACGGGACATCTCTAAAAGAAGGATAATAGTTTGATTGGTGAGCACTAGAAAAGGTACCAGACTGGAAAATGAGTTCCGTATGACACATTGTGTTGTCTTACACAAGCTACCTAAGTTTTCTCATCTATAAAATGAAGGGGTTGAATTAGATACAGATGGTACCCTCTTGGCTCTAAAATGCTGAAATTTTCAATGTTTTAAGTGTTAGTAATATGTAAATGGAACTGTCCAGCAGAAATGTAGACATTCAGTATGTCATCTCAGGAAAGATTGGGACTGAAGATGAAGCTTCAGAAGTCTTCTAAGTTGAGGCAATAATTAGAACCATGAAAGGAGATGAAACCTTGAAGTGAAGGAATGTAGTTAGAGAAAAGAGCCAAGGGCTGAGCCTAAGGGAACATGCATACTCTGGAGTGGGCAGAAGTGAGGCTATTAAGAGATATAGAAGTTGCTGCCAGATAGGTAAGAGGAGAATTAGGATAGCGTGCTGACATGGGATCCAAGGGAGGAGAGTTTCAGTAGGCATTACCAAGAGTGTCAAATGATACTGAGAGCATGGAGTACCTAGGCTTTGTAAAAGCCCCTGGATCAAGCTATTGACTGGATGGAAGCTACATTATAATACTCTAATTCTGTAAGATCTTCTTAGTGACTTAAGAAGGTGCAGTAGAGTGATAGCAGTGGACGCTAGGCTGCAAGAATTTAAGGACTGAGTGGTGGAAAGGAGTCAGAAAGAGTATGATTAGACTACTCTTCTTTTTTGGGGGGGGTTGTTTGTTCATTTTTGTTTTTTAATTTTTTGGCTGCACTGCACGGCATGGGGGATCTTAGTTCCCCGACCAGGTATCAAACCCATGCCCACTACAGTGGAAGCACACAGTCATAACCACTGACTGCCAGGGAAGTCCCTACTCTGTCAAGAATTATAGAGAAAAGATGAGAAAGAGGGCAGTTGGGCTCAAGAGATATTTTCTTTTTTTTTAAATTATTTTAAAATTTATTTATTTACTTACTTATTTTTGGCTACGTTGGGTCTTCATTGCTGCACGCAGGCTTTCTCTAGTTGTGGCGAGTGGGGGCTACTCTTCGTTTTGGTGCGCAGGCTTCTCATTGCGGTGGCTTTTCTTATTGCAGAGCACGGGCTCTAGGAGTGTGGGCTTCAGTAGTTGTGGCTTACGGACTCTAGAGCACAGGCTCAGTAGTTGTGGCGCATGGGTTTAGTTGCTCCATGGCATATGGGATCTTCCTGGACCAGGGATCGAACCCACATCCCCTGTATTGGCAGGGGGATTCTTAACCACTGTGCCACCAGGGAAGCCTCTCGAGAGATATTTTCAAGAAGGGGTACCTAATCATACTTGCACAAGGAATAATTATTACTTGTAGGAGAAAGAAAGAATAAATAATTCAATAACAAATGGAAGTTACAAGGTAAAGAGGGCGTAAGTGACTCAGCAAAAGTTCCAGAGGTGCAAGGTAATTAAAAGCACAACTGGAGAAGTTTGCCCTAAGGGGAGGGCATGTTGTCTGAAATAAAATGAGACAATAATTCACTGAGAACAGAGGACTTGGGAAACAGGTGAAAGATGTATAACCAGCTATGAGAAATATGCTAAGTAGCCAATGTGCAATAACTAAAATGACTAAGTAGTCTGAAACATTGCCACGGCTGGGAGAGGACATGGTTTTGATGGAAACTGTGACAAATCAGAAAGAGTAATGCATGGAGAAGGGTAGACGTAGGTAAATTCACAGACTTCAGTTTTGCCCTTTGATGACACTGGGTAGCATACATTTAGCAGCTGCAGGTTTTTGAAGAAGGAGGCCCAGCATCTGAGGGGACTTCCCATTCTGACAGTTCTGGGGCACCGTTTCCTCTTCAAAACTGGCAACCACAGTGGCTCTTCTGGGCTTTTGTGTCCCTCCTCTGGCAGCAGTAGATTACATATGCATTTAGCCACAAGCATCAACAGCTCCCAATAAAGCAAAGAGCTACCCCAGAGCAGTAGAACCTGCTAGTCTGGGCCAGCTGGAAGGTTACAAGAGTGAGAGACACAAACAGAAAGATACTAGTCTCTGGGCCTGAATGAAAAAACAACCCAACTCTGAACCCTGTAACTGTCCCAAGGGTGTTCCCTAGGAAGATAGCAGCAGAGAGTCCCTTTTCCTCTCCCACAGGACGTATATTGTCCCATCCAGACTTCTAATTTGGTGGAGCTCGGGTTCACAAACATTCCCATCCCCTTTCTTTCCTGCAGCTCAGAGGATAAATATTGGTATTCGAGGCAGAAGGTTTCAATTTCCCCCTGTCAGCAAACTGTTTAGGTATAAAATTTATTTAATCAGAAAGGATTTCTCTTCCCTCAACACAAATTCACACATTAACAGTTTAAAAAGTATATAGAGAGACATATATTTACACAAATTAGAAACTACAGTCTCAAGTCCTGCATTAGGGATTGAGAGGATGGACATCAGGAGCAACAGAAGGGTGGCTTCTCATCTGTTGTAGGTCTCCCATGGTCATCTCTCTGGTCATGGTGGGTAGACCAGGAGGGGATGGGGTACAGCTCCAGTCTGATGGCAGAGTTACTGGCAAATTGTGGCAACAAGGCCCCTCTCCAGATAGTTTCTTAGGATCACCAGGGATGACAGGAGATGCTGTAGTAGTAGATGGAACTGGAGAGGTTGGGGCTGAGTGGGTGAAGGGCTGTACTCCATGCTGGAGGAAAAGGATGACACCGATGCTGGTTCCAGTGCCTAAAGGACCATGGCTAAAGGAGATGGTACCTGGGGAACTGAGAGGGGGATTGCAAATTGGAGTAGTGTGGATCCAAGTGAGGTTCATAGCTGGCCATTCAGTGAGGTGCCAAGGCTGCTTTGGTTTCAATATTAGCTGTCCTAGCTGTGTCTGGTCCATCTTTTCCACAGAAAGTGCAGGAGAGGAAGCAGCTGGATAACTGTGGTGGCCTGGAGAATGCTAGGGACAGGGAGAAAAGAGAAAAAATTATATGAGAAAGCTTTCAGATTAACTCCACCCGGTTGCTTAAACATTTGCTTTCCTTGGGAACTCTGTAATGCTAACATACCTTGTTTTATGCAATAGATAATTTCCTGTCAGGCCATGATTAAGTAAAAGTTTTAGTAACCAAACTGTACTTTCATTTACTTAACAAATTCTTGTACCACGCACTATATAGGCGCTGGCTATTCACACGTATACAAAATAAAACAAACAGTCCCTTAGATTCTCACTATTTATAAACTAATTTATTTTAGAACTTCTTTCTAAAAAGTCTATTTTTAACTGGAATCATCATTTCCCAATTTCTGTATTTTAAGTTCTAATTTCCTGTGTTGAGTTCCTTAAGAAGTGTAGATTAATATGCAGGCAAGATCCTCCTGCTTATGTTTATGTATTTATTTTTTAATTTTTAAAATAAATTTATTTAATTTATTTTTTTGGCTGCCTTGGGTCTTCGTTGCTGCGCATGCATGGGCTTTCTCTAGTTGCGGCGAGCGGGGGCTTCTCTTTGTTGTGGTGCACAGGCTACTCATTGTGGTGGCTTCTCTTGTTGCGGAGCACGGGCTCTAGGCGTGCGGGCTTCAGTAGTTGTGGCACTTAGGCTCAGTAAGTAGTTGTGGCACACGGGCTTAGTGGCTCAGCGGCATGTGGGATCTTCCTGGACCAGGGCTCGAACCTGTGCCCCTGCATTGGCAGGCAGATTCTTAACCACTGCACCACCAGGGAAGTCCCCCTCCTGCTTTTTTTGTTTTTTAAATTTATTTATTTGTTTATTTTTGGCTGCGTTGGGTCTTCGTTGCTGCGTGGGCTTTCTCTAGTTGTGGCGAGTGGGGGCTACTCTTCGTTGTGGCGCGTGGGCTTCTCATTGCGGTGGCTTCTCTTGTTGAGGAGCACAGGCTCCAGGCACGTGGGCTTCAGTAGTTGTGGCACGTGGGCTCAGTAATTGTGGCTCGTGGGCTCTAGAGCGCAGGCTCAGTAGCTGTGGCGCACGGGCTTAGTTGCTCCGTGGCATGTGGGATCTTCCCAGACTACAGCTCGAACCCGTGTCCCCTGGGTTAGCAGGCAGATTCTTAACCACTGTGCCACCAGGGAAGTCCCCTCCTGCTTATTTACAACTCAATTATTCCCACAGCAGTTGAAAACAAGGACTGTCCATTAGCTACAGGAAACATTCCTCTCCCTATCATTTGAGTGCCCCCTACATACTCTATTATTTGAAGGCACAGAAAATAGGTCATTCCACACTAGATCTAAGAATCTTTTCAGGGACTTCCCTGGTGGTGCAGTGGTTAAGATTACACCTTCCAAGGCAGGGGACATGGGGCCGGGAAGATCCCACATGCAGCGGAGCAACTAAGCCCGTGCACCACAACTACTGAGTCCGCGTACCACAACAACTGAAGCCTGTGCGCCTAGAGCCCGTGCTCCACAACAAGAGAAGCCACCACAATGAGAAGCCCGTGCACCACAACGAAGACTGGCATCCGCTCACTGCAACTAAAGAAAGCCCGCGTGCAGCAACGAAGACCCAACGCAACCAAAAATAAATAAAAAATAAAAGAATCTTTGCAACACTCTCCTTATGGGTGCCCCATGGGTGCCTTCACCCCTCCCAGTGATGTACTTCTTGTGACCAGTCCTCAAAACCCATGCTTCCAGAAGGATACAAGGGTACTTGGGAAGGAGTAAAAAGAGGGAGAGGGAAAGGGGTTTAGGGGCAGCAGAAGAGAAAAGATTTGCAGAGAGAAGCTGAGGAATCTTCCTGCATGATTCATTTGGCCAGGTAAAAAGCATTCTGTATCTATGCAGAAAGCAGATAAGCTACAACATGAGGAACAGGGCTAAATTCCATGGAGTTCCTTGAGATGATCCAAACAAAATAGAACCCCCAAACACCTAGGAATCAAGACAATGAAGGAAGTTTAGGCATTCCCTTCCCTGAAAAGAAAACTTGTTGAAAAGATCCAAAAGAAAATGCAAGAGGGAGCCCATTTCTGCATGTACACTTCATTTCTTTGGTTATTTCCCCACCTTTTCCTCAGGTTTATAAGTTCTCACCTTGGTCAGCTGACTATGCAATGATGACTTCTGGGCAGCTATATGAGGAAACCAAGTCTTTAACATTCCTTCTACCTGTAGCAGGGTTCCAAGATAACGCTCTCTGTGAGGAGAAAAAAAAAGCCATTAGGTGTGAAAAAAGCAACAGGACAGGACTGGAGATAGCTCCTTTTTTATGAAGTACTGAGGAAAGAGCTCTTTTATGAAGTACTGAGGAAAGAATCAAGGGGACTTACCCCATCTGTGGCTTCTGCAAAACACCTACTATACGCTGGATCCTGTCCATTGCCACGCTCTGCTGGAAACTGCTCAATCCTGGGGTCAGGAAAGAGAAAGATCAAGGATTGAGATTCAAGAATTTAATCAGGTAAAGGAAAGACAGAAGGGGTTAAAATGGATTCACCTAAAGAAATTGTCACAGGAGAAAAAGCTAATCATCCAGGCCCCAAACAAAGACTTAAGAGAAATACACATTCAAAACATATTTTGAGAGACAGAGAGATGAATGTAGCTCAAATGAATACAAGTAATCAGATAACTACCTCTCTCAAATCGACCCATCTTCAGTCCATTCAGTAGGTCTGTGAGAGGGGGTATGAATCCTCGGAGCTCTTTACACTGTAGAAAAACAGGACAAAGGGTATGAGAAGACCAAGAACTGCCCACACCAGTACTTATTCTTCCATCTCCCAATCTGAGAGCCCATACTATCCTCATGGGGTCCTTACCAACCAACTGGGTGCTAAGCCACTTGGTCGTATCTCCTTTCCCCAGCTTTCTCTTACCTTCTGAGCAAAGAGCAGGTCTCCTTCTGTGGTACAACCCTGGATGTTTAGACTGGTCTCCAATTCACCACCTCTTGATCTTTTGACCCCAGATCCTGACATAGAAGAAGCCAAGCCCCGCTGTTCCGAGTGAGATGCTGTAGGTTGCTTACTGGAAACCTTGGGTCGTTGCCTGCAGCGGATAGGACCAGGGCTGGGCCGAGAACCTCCCCTCTGACCAACAGTGTCTGGCCTGGGGCCATGGGCCCACTTGTCGTCCCTCTCACTATCGGAGGGGAAGCCAGAGTCACTGTTCACTGGGGAGGTGGAAAAAGAGGAATAAAGAGAGTAGGAAGAAACGCTAGATGGAGAATCCATGGGTTCAGAAGCAGGGGCTGGAGAGCAGCTCCCGGAGTACCCAAACATCGGGACCTGCAACTGAAGAGCAAAGAGAGGGAGTTTGAAACCAGAATCTGAGTATTAGGAAATGGACTGGGAGACTAGGGTGTACTGTCTGCGATCACAATATCTCCTCCCTCCCTCCCCAATATTACCTGTCTCAGGGACAATTTAAAAAGTCATCTTCCCCACCTCCCCTCCTCCATTAAGAACCTGGATTGCCTCTCTGGCCTCCGCAGAGCAGCTCTTAGCCTGACACAGACTCTTTTCCCTTAGTTCAGAGTAAATATAATGATTTGACACCTTTCCCCGGTTCGCCTCTTCTGGTCTCATCCTGACCCCGTAGTGAGCCTCTCTACCTGAGATCACGCCACCGGCAAGCTGGAAATCTGCGGCACCCGAACCCACCTAGGGACCCGCAGCAACCTCCCTCCTCTTGCCAATCTTTCTGATCAGGATCCCTGCGCCGGACCATCTCCAGTCGCGCCTGCCACGTGATGCGATCCCTCTCAATACCAATATCCGCGTTGAGTCCCTAAGCCCACTCCCACCGGGTCTGATCCTGCTGCGCGGATCGCTCCCTGACCTAAGTCTCCTCACCTGTGTCGGTCGGCTCAGCCCAGGCTGTCTCCAGCTCCTACTCCGACTGTCGGGTCAGGGCTACCCACCTCCGCCTCCCTCCCACTGGGTCCCGCCCCTTCCCCCTCCCAGACACGTGCAGCTCCGCACGTGCCTTCCCCCGGCGTACACAGACCTCGCACCCTCATTGGTTGTCTAGCCGGTGGCACGTGACTCTCGTTACTGAAGTTCACATTCCATTTGCTACAGCGTACAGGGGCTCGGCCAATAAAGAGGCAGTCAGGTGACGATTGGTTGGAAGATAAGCATTCCGTGCTCCGCCCCTACATGCGGCTAGCGAGGAGGACCCGGTGATGAGAGAAGGAGGAGGATGGAAAAAGAGTGGAAAAGAAGGGAGGGGAGGAAAAGGGCGGAGCCTGTGGCTTTAAATAGGATGGTGGTGTGCCGGAGCCGCGCAGCTGGAGTGTGCAGACTGGTTGTGTGACCTAAGGAGTGCGCCTTGAGATGTGGGACTCTTGGCTCTTCCTTGAGAACCGACCCCTCTGCCCCCTCTTTCAGCGCCTCCTCTCACGAGTGCAGCACGTGGAAACGATCAGCGACTTGCGTCTGCAACGTGTGTGAGACAATGGATGTGTGCCACTATGTATACTCTCCCCCTCTCGGCGGCCCAGCTCTCGTGACTTCCCGGTCTCTGTTTCACCCTCCCCTCCTCCTCCTTCTCCTACAAGTTGGGTGCCTCCTGCCCTGCTGGGTGAGGAGGGTGGGGATTGCTGCCGAGAACACCGCGTCCTTTCCCCGGCTCCCGCTGGGGCGGCTCCACCAGCCCTTTCCTTATGTAACCCGCCACGCACGTTACCAGCTCAGATGCCAGCCCGCCACGACTCCAGAGGTCAAAGCCCCGCCGGGTTGCTCCTGACTTTTCTACCCCGGTTCCCCGGGCCCTGCGCCCTTAGTTCTGTGTTTCTTAGCACAAGAAAAGGAGAGTGGGTAGGTCTCTGATCTCCTAGATTATGTACTTGTCCAGATTCAGTTTCTTCATTTGTCCTCTGGAGAAGATTTGAAGGACGGAGGGTGGCAAGTCCGGAGTTTACTATTCACTGGCCCTTGCAGTGCTTTGTTTCGTTTTGTTTGTTTGCTTTCTTTTGCTGTGCCAGGAGGCTTGCGGGATCTCAGTTCCCCAACGAGGAATTGAATCCGGGTGACCGCAGCGAAAGCCCGGAGTGCTAACCACTAAGCCACCGGGGAACTCCCCCTTGCAGTATTGAGAGCACAGTGGAGAGAAGGGGACAGGACCCAGGGATTGTGGGCTGATTGAAGCTATAACATCGAAGAGGCCGCAAGGGGGCAGCCCAGTTCTTTTTAGGGTCGAAGGATAAAAGGAAAAAAAAAATTTTTTTCTTTTTAAAGTTTGTCCCTGGGCTTCCCTGGTGACGCAGTGGTTAAGAATCCAACTGCCGATGCAGGGGACACAGGTTCGAGCCCTGGTCGAGGAAGATCCCACGTGCTGCGGAGCAACTAAGGCCATGTACCACAACTATTGAGCCTGCACTCTAGAGCCCGCAAGCCACAACTACTGAAGCCCACTCTAGAGCCCGTGCACCACAGCAAGAGAAGCCACCGCTATGAGAAGCCCGCGCACCGCAACCAAGAATAGCACCCGCTCGCCGCAACTAGAGAAAGCCTGCAGCAACAAAGACCCAAAGCAGCCAAAAATAAATAAATAAATTTATAAAAAGAAAAAAACAGTTTGTCCTCGAATGCCTTAATTACTAACTGAAAAGGTACATAGTTAGGGGCTGGAGGGGGGAGATAAGGGGAGGAGGGTGTGAATTTTAAAAATCTATTCTAAGTAGTTTTTGATATTTTACGTATGTTTAACAATGTGCTTATTTTATAAAAAGGGTCAACTTTCTTTCTCCAGATATACTGTCTCAACACCATATATGATAAAGCAAAACAGTAGAATTAGAGGGAATTATAGGCTGTGAATAAACCTGTTGTTTGTGGGTGTTTTTCTCCATTCTTCCCAAAATTTCAGGGTTTATTTTTTCACAGCCCTAATAATTCCCTCTAACTCTACTGTCGCCTAACTCCCTTTCTAATCTACCCTTCACACACCTATATCCTGGTGCTCTCTTCAGTGTTGCAGCTTTAGAACTGACCCTCATAAAGGAGTAGAGAGTAACCAGATTACTTCATTTATTTATTTAATCTTCCACTCTCCTCTTCCCAAATCCCCATCCAATGAGTCGTAGCAGTGTTCCCTCTCCTAAAAAAAAAAAACAAAAAAAAAAACAACGAAGAAAGGGAAAAACAAAAAAACAGGGTCAGGGGACTCAGGAAGCCCCTCCCACCTCTATGGAAACCCCCCAGATTTCTTATTTTGAGCTAGATTTCCCCATGACATCCACTACATGTGTCCCCCTCCCCTCTTTACTTCTTCCTTCTGCTAAACCCTTCATGCCCATAGTTATTTAGATTACCAACTTAAATTCCTTCCCTATAATACAGGTTTCTCTTCCTTCCCCCTTTCCACCATCTCTCCCCTACATTAGGGAACCACCCCCACTTCTGCCTCTTGACTCTGCCAGGTTGTAGGGCCCCTCCCATTTTGCCCTCTAGCACCTGAAGAGCCTTAAACCAGGCCAGCTTTGATTCCTCAAGGCAGACTGGAAACCTGGAGAAGTTTCTTCTCCATTCCACCTGCTTCTGCTCTAGGAGGTCCTGAAATCCTCCCAGTTCAGAAAGAGTAATGACTCTTATGACAAAGGCCTTTGCCTCAACATCTCCTAAACCTCCTTAAAGTTAGATAAGATTTTTCTATATGTGATCCCTCTTTAAGCAGCTCAGACAGAATTGACCAGGCTGGAAACACTAGCCAGAGATACTGGTAAAATTGCTTCACAGACTCCCCCAAGGCCAATGGCTGCACTCTCACCTTCTACATGAAATACATCCCCCCCTGAACGAGGGCCCAGGACAGGAGGAGTGCACCAGGACTCTGCAGACTGGATACAGCATTGTTCAGATCTGGACTCTGCTAAAATACAGACATCCCCTCATAGTAGGCTAGTGTCACCCTTCCTACTGCCCACCTCCCACTCTGGAAGGATAACCATCTCTTTACACCAATCTCTGTCTTCTTTCCTCTGAGCTTAGAGAAAGATCCAGCCCTCCTCCCCATCACTATAAGAAGTCCTTTCCTCTGTGCCTTTCAGCCATTCCTGACCATACCAGGGAGACCTGACTCAATTTAATGAGATGTTTTTTGTTTTGTTTTTTAAGCTATGTGCATGACACTATACTAGTCACTGTGCTAGGTGCCATAGGGGGGACATAAATATAATTAAGACAGTGGTTCTGTCCTCACAGAGTTTACAATCTAAAGAGAGCCTACTATACACTTTAAAATATTTATCTGTCCTTGTCAAGCATCAGCTTTCCATTTCTACTAAATCTTCCCATCTGTGTTCAACTATATTCAGACTGCACTTTGATCCTGTTGCCCTTTCTAGCTGTTGCTTCTCTTTTTGCATTACCAGATTTCTCAGATGGTTGGTCTCTCCTCTCCCGCCACTTCCTCACAATGTATTCCCGCTCTAACACCACAAAATCTAGCTTTTGCTACATCCACTCAATTAAAACTACTTTCTCTGTGATTATCAATCACCTCCTTCTCCTTTGCCTCTTGGTAGCTTTTGATTGATTGTATTAAGCTTTCTCTTCTAGACTTTAAAATACAAATTTGGCTATCTGCCTACCTCTCCAATCAGCTCGTCTCCATTTCCTTTGTTGATTCCTCTTCTACTAACTACCGGCACAGTCATTGGCCATTTGGTCTTCTGTGTGTACTGGCTCTAATGAGCTCTACTTTTGTGACTGTGACTTGGCACTTAGAACTGTAGCACTGACTTAATTCAGCTACCTTTACGACACCCTCATAGGGCTATCATTATAAATTCAGCTTGGCCAATACCAAATTTATAACTTCACTCCTAAATCATTCTAATCTCCCACAATTCCCATTTTGGTCAACCGTTTTCCCAGATATCCATGTTTAAAACTTTTAAGTTATTTTAACTCTCTCCTCATTTATTGCCCATATGAAATTATCACTGGAGCAAGGCATTTTCTCCAAAATGTTTCTTATTTTTCTCCTCTCCATTCAAAATGCCACTTCCCTAGTCCAGACCTTTAATGGATTGTTTCTGGAATGATGCAAATCTCATGAGTCTCTCTCCACTCCACTGCATCCTTCATACAACCAGATAAATCATTTTTCAAAAATACCACTTTCATTGTGTGTTTACCACACTGAAGAACTTACTAGGCTCCCTATTGCTTATAAGTCTGAACCTTCCCTGATACTTTAGACTCTGTAATTTGGCCCTATCTTCCCATATGTGAGATTATCAAGCAAATATTTGGAGCATTGTAAATGTTATTTCTTAATTTCCCACTGTTCCTTTCCATATACCCTCTCCTTCAGTCATACTCCATCCACTAAACATACCCTGCTTGTTCTGTCCCCCTTGTCTCTGCAGCTCTTTCACTCTTGGAATAACTATTCTTCCCCCTAATTGCTTTCATCCTTTCATAACTTCCTGCCAACCAAAAGCTCACCTATTCTTCAAAGTGTATTTCAAGCATAATTACCTCCTAAAAGTCTTCCAGACAACTTCAGCCTGTGCTAGTCTCTCTCCTTCCACAGCCTAAAGCACTTGTTTGTCATATGCTGTCAAATGTGTATGCAATTTAACATTGTTACAAATCTTTTCATTTTGTTTTAAATGTTTCATAAGTGTAAACTTGAGTTTTATGAATACTTTGAGGACAATAACAACACCACAGATTTCTTTTTCATCATCAGCAGCAGCAGCAGCAGCAGCTCTAGGCATAGGTTACTTACACATTAAATACTATTCAACTGAAATTTAACTGCACCAAATCTTCCCAGTGTTCTGTATACGGGTTAGTATTAAATCTCAGTGAAAGAAATGATGGCCAAGCTGAGATGAACCCCTGCATTGTAGTACTAGTTGTTTGGCTCCCCCATCCACCAAAGCCTCCCTCTGCTGCACGTCACCAGCTCTGGGATCTATCCAGGGTAAGGGTTGTCTGTCTCCCCCCACCCCCGCCCCCTTATCCCCAATCCACTCACTGGTTCCATTGTCACTGGTTTCTCTGTTACAGGCTTCTGATGGTCTGCAGGGTCTGTTTCACGACTAATGGTAGTCTCTACTGCTTCCATTACCTCCTTATCCCACTTGTTCTGCCCTCAGTAGGATTAGGAAACACAGAGTTATCACTGCCTCCATCCAACATCCTCACAGATTTTCTATTTAGAGTTCTTTTCTCCTTCACCACCTCTTCTCCCCCCTTCCCATCCCCCAAGACTTAAACTCAGGGATCTTCCCTACTTCATGTTTGCATGGATTATGTACCCATCCCATTCACCATTTCCCTTGACTCAAGGATTGCTCCTCCCTTTCAGTGTCTTAGCAAACCTACTGCATTCTGGCTTCATCCCCAGCTGTGGTTAACAAATTTGTTTTGGGCTCACTACCTAGTTTCACTTCACCTAACTAATTTTTATTCCTGTTCATCACTTACATTTCAACAATGACCAGTTTCTTTTTAACTGTTACCTATCCTGATCCTCCTAGAGGGTCATGTAGATATCACTCACCAGCCTGTTCTCTGACTCAAACATAGAGTAATCAACAGTGAAGTTTGCACCAAAGTCATCTGGGGAGGAGAAAAAAAATTAGTAGTAACAAAGGTAGCACTAGATCTGGAAATGAGAAGAGGAAGAAACTGTTCAGAATACTTCAATTTGCTCAAGTTGTAAAATTTACTGGTATAATTCTAATGAACTTTTGATGTTAAAATGTTTGTGAATGTGTATGCATTTATATTTTCAATCTGGTGTCTAAAATCATGTACAAATTTGAAAAATTTCTAATTTCTAAAGGCTTGAAAATCACTAGTTTGAGACATAACATCATGAGCTTGATAGTCTTTGCTCATAGCCACATTTCTTTCTGACCTAGTTATACCATTGTAAAGGAAACGTCAAAGTGTCAGAACTGAGCATCTCCCAAACCTCTCTCCATCCTGCGAAGGGTCAGAACCTTATACATACTCACCATAGTTGGGGGTGACTGTGTAATAATAGACCACCTGATAATAGTCATCCTCTTCCAGTCCTTCTTCATCCTCATATTCTTGTCCTAGGGGGACAAGGACTAGAGGTCAGGGGGCATCTGGAACTCCTTAGCAATAGAAGGACACCTGACGTTGACCTCAGCTCTATCAGTTTCCTTTCCTTCTGCCTCCACTCTACTATCTCCCTGCCTCTGTACCTCTAAACCTTTCTCAGTCTTCTGGGCTCCATAACTCTGATGAGACCTGTTACACTGTGCCCTTTCAATCCGGGAACTCCCAGAAGAGAAAACGGGTCCCTTCACACACTGTAACCCAAACTAAGCCTTAAAAAGGTAGGAAGCAGAGAGACACCAGAAATTAAGACCTCCAAATCCACTCCTCAGTATGCTCTAGACTTACTGTATTTGTGAGAGATGTTCTCTTATCAGTGTCTCCCACAACTAACACACACACACAGTCTCTTGGACTTGGGCTTTAGTTCCAGTTTCAATGCTAACTAGTAGAATATCTCTGAACAAGCCAGTTAACATCTGCTTTCTTAAAATGAGTCAGCTGGACTAAATGATCCATCTGCATTAGTTTTTCTTCCTTTCCAGGATTAAAAATATGTGGCTTGGACTTGACTGGGTCAGGAATTCTAGGCCTCCTGCTAAATATTTCCCTAAGCTCCTTGAATGCTCTCTCTTAACCCCAAGCAATGACACAGAGTCTGGAGGAAAAGGAAACAATGAGAGCACCTGGCAGACTGAGAACAAAGGAGGGAAGGAGCCAAGCTACTTTTGGGACCTTGTCCCTGAAGGCAGACAGTACTCACTATCGAAAAGCCACCCCTTCTGTGTCTTTACTAATACAAAGTTTTTCTCCAACTCGCTGGGAAAGAAGATATCCTGGCTTCCCTTGCTAGTTTCAGACTGCCCCACCTTCAAAGAGTCCACCTCTCTCCACTCTCACTTTAGTCCTTCTCATCTTGTTCAACTCTGTGGTTATGGTGAGCTGAATTCACTCTTGTTAGGACCTCCCCATGGCTGGGGCTCCATCCCCATCAGCTGTCTCTTCTTTGACAGGACTATGCTCTCCTCCCCTTTTCCTGGCCCTAATTTCCAGGTTTCCCCTCTGCCCCTGACATCTAACACAGTTGAGAAAGTGTTATCACTCCTTATTGAACTGCACCTCCCGCCCTCTCCTCATTTTCTTTTCTCCCACCCCATTTATGGTAGAAGACCTGGCTCAAAAGCTCAGAGAGAGACGTGTACTTACCCAGGATGAGTGGCACAGCAAGGATGGCTACAAAGAGGACATCCATTCTGGATTCTGCACTAGTGCCTTGAAAGTAAAAAAGGAAATTACAGCGTTTCCCACCAAACTTACCCCGCCTTCTGCCCTCCTCCAAAGCAGGGAAGGAGCTGCAGCAATCTTCTCCCAGGGGGGGAATTCCCCGCCCACTTGCTTACTGACTGGGCCATCAGTTACTACCAGTGCGGTCCTCAGCCACAGCTGCCCAGATCAAGAGAGGCAAAGTGAACTTTGATGGAAACATGTTCATTGAGACCCTCTGGCTCTAGACTAGATCCATTCAGGCCTCCTGCTGCCACTTCCAGAAAAACAAAACAAACAAACCAACCCACAAAACCCCCCGCCAAAACCCAAACCAAACAACAACAAAAACCCCAGCCTACCAAGGAGTTTCCCCTCTCACCTACTTTCCTTCCTTGTTCCCAGTCCTCACAAAAAGCTCACCCTCCCTCTCACTGTCCCTAACTTACTATCACTATCCAGAGCTGCCCTTCTCTCTGAGGCTTCATCACAATCTCTTTCTTCACAGTCAAAATATTCTTAGGAAGGGATGAACATTTTTTCTAGACTGAAAATAGTCTCCCTTCTCTGCGTGTCTCGGACTATGAAGTATGGGAACAATATCAACATCATTGTCTGGCTCTCCAAGCACCTGCTGCATTGCTTCTGATTTCAAAAAAAAAACAACTTTCAGTCAAGACTAGTTACTTCCTCTCTGCTAAGTACTGATCTCACCTCACTTCTTTCTCAACTTTCTGCACACAGGATGGGAAAAGGGAGGAAGCAGGTAGTCTCTTTCCCTGCTGTATATGCCACACCCCTTCTCCCACTTTCAGTCACTTGGTATGTTCCCTTCATTCTAGCCTACAGGGGTGGAGTTCATCTTATCCTTCTCTCTGCTTTTATATTTCCCATTTTCATTCAATTCAATTTAGAAACATCAAACATAATGTATGTGCTAGGCACAGTGTGCTAGGCCTAGTCTGATAGGCAATTCAGGGTTCAGAGGCAAGGGAATAAGAAAAGAATGCAGGTATTTTTTTTTTAAGGGAGTTAATAAACATCCATTCAACATCTACTATGAGTCAGACACTATGCAAGTCTCTGTGGAACTACCAATGAACAAGATAGGTTTGATTCCCGTTCTTAAGTCAGCAAATGCTGTGGTAACAGCTCGAAGGAGAGATGAGAAGAGTTGTCTTATCCCTATCTCTTCTGGATTGCTATGCTCAGAAGCAAGACAATAGAGTCTTGAGCACTGGCCAGGATGTTCCCACCCTCTTAACCTTATTGGGGGAGGATTTGCATGGTGACTTCTCACGTACATCTATATAATCTATTCCTTCAGCTCCTTTCCAGAATTTCCTGGAAAAAAATGGAAAACTCTTATGTGGCTGTACATCTATGCATTGCCATAAATCATTTCCAGGAAGGAAAGTAAGCCTGGTTCTCTCTGAAGAATTTCTATAGATTTTTTGGGTACTTTGATTACTCTCTCAAGAACAATATTCCAGTTTCCCTCACTTTCCCATCCTGGTACTCTTTTTCCCAAACATCCTCCCTAAGGACTAACCCCACCTGCATCCAAATGAGGATACAATACCCTCTTCTCATACTTTAACTTTCTTTTGCTCTAATATGCATCCTCTGCGCCTTCTCTTCCCCCATCCTGAGGAAAAGACACTACTGAGGTTCATTTTCAGAAAATAAATGGAGGAAGTATGACATAAAAAGAACTGAGTAACTTTGCGGGCTAGTGGTGGTGGGGTGTCATTTTCCAACTCCATAGCTCGAATTGCTTTTTACAAACAACTTCAACTCCCGATTTTAACTCAAAATCCCCTCTAACCTTCCTAACATTGCTCTCCAGGCTCCTTTTACTTCCCTCTGATTCTCTTGTCATTATGGATGAAGGCTTCATTAGCGATACACTGTATTGCATGCTTCCTATACTAGCCTGTTCAAAGAGCTCCTACTTTTAAGTGTAACCTTCATCTCTTAGGCAGTAGCTCTAGCTCATTTCCTCTCATTCAAGTAAGAACAATACCCGTCCCTATCTCCCTGCACCCTCTATCCTGTGCTTTCTTTGTATTTGTCCTTTAGGTTCCAACAGGATCTTCCCCCCTCTGCAGCTCTTCAAGAAGCGTAGGATTGCTACCACCCTGCCCCATAAAATACCGAAAGGGAACAGCGACCAAAGTCGAACCGAACCAGGAAACTGGGCTCGGGCCCAGCCCACATGTTTAACCGTTTGGAGCCACTCCCAGGGCCGAGGTCCAGGAGGAGGGCAGGACTACAACTCCCAGCACGTCGTGAAGCCACGCCCCCGCCTCCGCAGCTCCGCCCCCGCGGGTTCTCCATTGGCCTCCAGGGGGTGGGGATTAGATGGGAGGTGGCCATGGGGCCGCGGCAGGGGTTTGTCCCCTCCTCGGCTTCCGTAGAGGAAGTCGCGCCGACCTGTATCTGGGGTTTCGGTGTCCCCGCCTTCCCGGGGGTCCGGGGTGACATTGCACCGCGCCCCTCACGGGGTCGCGTCGCCACCCCACGCGGACTCCCTGGCTGGCGTGCTTCATCCCTTCGCCTCTCTTGGCCGGGCCCCCACCTCGCCCCCAGCTGCCCAGCCATGGGGGCCGCAGTGTTTTTCGGATGCACTTTCGTCGCTTTCGGCCCGGCCTTTGCGCTTTTCTTGATCACTGTGGCAGGAGACCCGCTTCGCGTCATCATCTTGGTCGCGGGGTGAGTTAAGGGGTTGGGGAGACGCGGGAGGACGCCGAAGAGAGAGATCCAAAAGGGGCTGGAGGAACTGGGGCGAGCTGGGAGCCTGAGAGGGGGAGACAAGTCGGAGGTGAAGATTGGAGAGGGTCGAGTCAGGGATCTGGGTGATTCGCCCTTTCCCGCAGTTGGTTTCCGCCTTCCAGAGATCGCACAGATTCCTCCTATACTCCTCCTGCGACGTCCGAGGAGGCCCAAGGCGAAGACTTGGAAGGGGGCTGTGCTGACCTCGGCCGGCCTTAAGGGAGTATCCAGGAATGGATACCTCACCCTCCTGTCCTCCTACACTCTGGCTCTCATCATTCTGAAGACTCTTTAATCAGATTTCTTACCCTTTCCCTGCGTTCAGATCCCTACAAACTCCCTTGGTGGAGACACCTATCCTATCTCCTCCCTGTCTCCCTGGACAATCCGGAAGTCTAACTTCCACTTTTTATGCTGCAGCCTTGGTTGGTTCCCCTCTTTGATTTCCCTGGTTGCCCCCTACCCTTGCTTGTCTGATTGCCTTTGTCTTTCCTCAGGGCATTTTTCTGGCTGGTCTCCCTGCTCTTGGCCTCTGTGGTCTGGTTCATCTTGGTCCATGTGACCGACCGGTCGGATGCCCGACTCCAGTATGGCCTCCTGATTTTTGGTGCTGCAGTCTCTGTCCTTCTACAGGAGGTGTTCCGCTTTGCCTACTACAAGCTGCTTAAGTAAGGAGTTGGGGTGGTCTGGAGGGGAGAAGGGCAGAAGACTGAACTATAAGTGGGGCAGCCCTGGGTGGTGGTTTGAACGAGGAGGTACTAAGGGAAGATATTAGAGGGGAAGGCGATTCCTGCCCTCCCTCATGTTTCCCCTATCCCACCCACCCCACCCCAGGAAGGCAGATGAGGGGTTAGCATCGCTGAGTGAGGACGGAAGATCACCCATCTCCATCCGCCAGATGGCCTATGGTGAGCCAAGGGAGAGGGACTGGAGGAGGGAGTTGGACACTCCTCTCTCCCAGGGAAGTCTCTAAACATCCACATGTCCTAAGCGGCTTCTTGTTTTTCTTCATACCTGACTTCCAAGGAGAGGTGGTCTGGAGGGAGAGTAGGTGTGGGGGAACTGGGACTGGGAATGGGGAGGGATCACTGGTAATAAGGCTATAGTGATCTTTGACATTGATGAAGCCCTCCCTCCCCCCCAGTTTCTGGTCTTTCCTTCGGTATCATCAGTGGTGTCTTCTCTGTTATCAATATTTTGGCCGATGCACTTGGGCCAGGTGTGGTTGGGATCCATGGAGACTCACCCTATTACTTCTTGACTTCAGGTAAGGTCCACTTTCTTTCTTGCCTCCATGCCCCATTCATCCCTGACCCTGATTTGATTTATTGGCCTTCCCTGGGAGACTTCTTTGGCTCAACATCTCAGGAGGCTGGGAGAAGATGAGGGATGTATCTCATCCCCATCTCCCTCCCTGCAGCCTTTCTGACAGCAGCCATTATCCTGCTCCATACCTTTTGGGGAGTTGTGTTCTTTGATGCCTGTGAGAGGAGACGGTACTGGGCTTTGGGCCTGGTGGTTGGGAGTCACCTACTGACATCGGGACTGGTGAGTTGGGGACAGGGGCCTGAGTTAGAGAGAAAAGAACTTAATGGTGAGTGGGATGGAGGGGAAATATATTCTCACTTCTTAACATTTAAAAACTTACCTTGGGAGGAGGCAGAAAGGTGAGTCTTTAGACGTCTCTCACCTCAGCATCAATTGTATAACCTGCTCTGGGGATGCTCTAGGGAGGAGTTTGAATGGATTAGTCAAACTAATGCAGATGGCCTGAGGTGAGCAGGAGTGGCAGAAACCTCTGAGGGGGCTGAAAAATCACAAATGCCCTTAACTGTGATGATATCGGTGTTCTGAAGGACTGGGAGATTCGAGTGAGATACCTGGGGGAGATTTGGGTCAAAGGCACAAAGAGAATATGGGGATTAGAGGAAGAATCTAACCTCTTTTCTACTCTTTCCCCCATCCCCAGACATTCCTGAACCCCTGGTACGAGGCCAGCCTGCTGCCCATCTATGCAGTCACTGTTTCCATGGGCCTCTGGGCCTTCATCACAGCTGGAGGGTCCTTCCGAAGTATCCAGCGCAGTCTCTCGTGTAAGGACTGACTACCTGGACTGATCGCCTGACAGATCCCACCTGCCTGCCCACTGCCCGTGACTGAGCCCAGCCCTAGCCCGGGTCCATTGCCCACCATTCTCTGTCTCCTCGTCGGTCTATTCCACCACCTTCAGGGTTTTGCTTTGTCCACTCATGACCTTTAGTCTCTAGGCTTTACCAGGAGCAGTCTGGGTTCAGCCAGTCAGTGACTGGTGGGTTTGAATCTGCACTTATCCCCACCATCTGGGGACCCCCCCCCTTGTTGTCCAGGACTCCCCATGTGTCAGTGCTCTGCTCTCACCCTGCCCGAGACTCACCCCCATTCCCCTCTGCAGGCCGACGGCAGGAGGACAGTCGGGTGATGGTGTATTCTGCCCTGCGCATCCCACCCGAGGACTGAGGGAACCTTGGGGGGGACCCCTGGGCCTGGGGTGCCCTCCTGATCTCCTCGCCCTGTATTTCTCCATCTCCTGTTCTGGACAGTGCAGGTTGCCAAGAAAAGGGACCTAGTTTAGCCATTGCTGTGGAGATGAAGTCAATTGGAGGTTCAAGGGTAGACGAGCTCTGAGTTTCCCAGTACCCCCTCCCCAGACTGGATATCTTAAGTCTTTTTCTCAGGTCTGAGGGGAACCATTTCTGGTGTGATAAAGACCCCCAAATTGCCTTTTTCTTTTGAAGCAGGAGGAGGGAGGAAGTATGTGTTAATTCTCCTAACCTCCTTGGACTATATTTTCCCTCCTCAAATTGCTCCTTATGGCTGGGCTTATATCTATCCAGCTTTCCCCTTGGTCCCAGGCTTTGGGGGAAAGGAAGAAGTGCATGTTTGGGAACTGGTATTACTGGAACTAATGTTTCAACCTCCTTGACCACCAGCATCCCTCCTCTCCCCAAGGTGAACTGGAGGGTGCTGCGGGGAGCTGGCCCACTCCAGAGCTGCAGTGCCACTGGGGGAGTCAGCCTACCGTGACATCGCAGGGAAGGAGGGCAGATTTTTTTCTAGTTTTTAATTGGGGGATGTGGGGGGGGCGGGGAGGTTTTCTATAAACTGTATCATTTTCTGCTGAGGATGGCGTATCCCATCCTTTTAATCAAGGTGATTGTGATTTTGACCAATAAAAAGGACTTTATAATTGTGGGGGAACTTGGCTTTAAAAGGAGGGGATAACATGTTGATTGAGGTTTCTGCCCTCTCATGTCTCTTTTCCAACCTCCCTCCTAACCTGGCAACCTCTCGTTCCCTCCAAGCATAGCTTCGATACAAGGGCAGAAATCTGGGCTGGGGGTCTAACATGTCAGAAGCTCTGGGTTAAGCATTTTCCAGCAGTGGATCTCCCCTTCTCCAGGATTGGGGTAAAAGGAGTTACTCACCCATTCGTCCTTTTCCATACCCTTTGCCCACCTCTGCCATCTGAGGCATTAAGGAATTCTCCCATTCTCAAGAGCCCCCAAAGTAAGGCCAGAGGCGGGGTCGGCAAATTTAATTTCCTAATATATTGAGGGAAAAAAACATAGCAGCAGCAACCCTTTTTCCTAAGGGGAGATCTTGTACTATATCTCGGGACAGGGATACAGAGATGAGGGGGTGGGGGACTTTGGGGCACATCCCCAGCTTCCCCTACAACTAAACACAGTTCACCCTCTGCATTGTCAACATAGGGCTGTCCTTATCTACGTGTTTTGAGAGGCTGAAGGTTCTGTTCTTCCTTGAATGAGAGCCTGTCCATACCTCTGTGTAGGGGCTGTCTGGAGGAAGGAGGGATGTCAGCCTACTCCTACAGTATTTTCTGGCCAGTCCCTGCACCCCACTTTAGAAGCTCCCTGATAGGCGAGGGGAAGCCATCTGTGGTGACCGGGAAGGAGTCTATGCCTCGGTGGCTCGTGCTGAGGTGAAGACCACACTTTTCCGGTTTCCCAGTCTCTTCTTCCTGAAAGGGAGAATGGTTCGTGGAAATGGCTAATGTCCTAGGCGAAACAGATTCGAGGTGGAGTAGGCGAATGCTTTTCAATGCCAAAGAAAAGACTGGAGGAATGGAGAATAGGAACTCACCGAATCTTTCTAGCAATGAAATAAACAGCCAGCAGAAGGCAGAGACAGCCAACCAGGATTCCCACTCCCAGACTCAGCATTTCACCTGGGAGAGATAAAGGTGGAAGGTGTCAGCCTAAGACTAACATAGATATTGAGCTTTTCCCTAACTCACTGAGGAGAACCCTACCCTGCACTCCACCCCTCGATACATGGGTAGGCCTGTCTTACCTGTGGTATACAAGGATCCCACTGTAAGGGAAGAAAACTTGGGTCAGTGAGACTAGATCCCCACCCCAGTTGGGAGTAGCACACTGTGCCAGTACTCGGGGTTGGGGCATGGTTCCCAGTCCAAGCAAGTCCTGGAAATCCCTTCCCCTGTTAGCCTTCTTTTCCTTCCCAGGGGTTCCCTAGTTCCTGCCATTGAGTCCCCCAGTTTCCCGTCTCCTTTTCTGAGCCCTGTACAGTTACCTTGGATGAAAGAAGCAAAGACCGTTCGCTGATTGAGAGGCTGGGGGGCTCGGTAGTTCTGTACCAGGAGCTTAGAGGGCTCCTCTTCCGTGGAGAACAGTGTCTCTTGAAGCTTTTCCAGCTGAGAAGTAGAAGAGTGGGATTAAGGGACAAGTGGCACTCGCTCTCGGGAGTGGGAAAGGGTTTGAGGTTACAGCTATGTCTGCTGTCTCACCTCTCCACCACTCACCTGTCCTATTGAAATCTGGGCCCTTCGACTGAAGACCGTCCAGAGCACACTCTGGTAGCAGGGCGGTGTGGTGAGCGAGCCATTGTAACGGAAGTACTGCGCCAGCAGTGGGGGGAACAACTCTCTCAGGTTGAAGGGAGGCACTGAGGTCTTCTGATCTGGGCAAGAACAGACTAGGACTCATCTCCCTCTCACTGCACCCTCGCTTACCTAGACAGGGCTCCTAGAAGCGAACACCCTACCTACCTCCGGCCCCAACTCACTGCCTCGTTCCAGGCCTCTCAGGCCTTTTTGAGAAATTTCCCTGAAGCCTAATTAATGTTACTTTGTCTTAAGATAGCTTTTTAGGGCTCACCTTTATGCCTGATTTCATGCAAGTGACTCAGAATGTGTTCATAAGCTGGATTCTTAGTCTCACCCACCTGTATGGGGAGGAAAGGGTGAGAGAGTTCGGGATGAGTCCATGTTTGGAGTAAGACACTTGTGTATAGGATAAATAGCCAGAATGGGTTGCTGACTTGTCTTGGGAGGGCGACCAGCAGCACACATGGGCAAAATAGGACTGAGGGATGCAGAGGAGGTGGAGAGAGACCAAGGAGGGATTGGGGGCCACTGACCTCAATGAGGATGCCCAAGACAGCCAGGCCCTGAGGCCTCTGAGCAGCCTCACTTAAGCTTTCGTAGGAATCAGCATCATAATGTACGATGTGGAGCTGAGGGAGGGGAGAGGGAATTGAATCATTTAATGTTTCTCCACCACCCCCTCCCAAAAGCTTTTATCCTAGCCACCACCACCACCTCTAGCACGCCCTAAATCTGTCCCACAAAGTTTGCCCTTTTCCCCCAAGTATGACTTTCCCCAGTTTCCAGATCCTTCCTTTCCCCTGGCACCGACAGTGCCTACCACTGTGTCCTAATCCAGGCTTTGCTCCCTGGTACCTCTGCAGCTGTGGCTTCGCCATTGATCTGGTGCTCTGACCCCCCCAGGGATCCTTTCTGACCCCAGTGCAGGTGGAGCTGGGCAGCTACGTATTTTCGGGGAAGTCCTTCCAGATACAGGGTTGGGGGCAGAGAGAGTTGCACTGTGAGGGAAGGAGAGCGAGTTAGGGTTGGTGGACGAATGTGGATACGTTCCCACCCCTGGGTTGCCACCACTTTGGGGAGATTTGGCCAGCCTTTTCTGTCTCCCTGCACATCACCCACTTCTTCCCATAGGCCACTGCTTTTCTTTTTTCTTTTTGGCCGCGCCCTGCGTGTGGCATGTGGGATCTTAGTTCCCCGACCAGGGATCAAACCCATGCCCCCTTGCAGTGGGAGCTTGGAGTTTTAACCACTGGACCACTGGCTGGAAGTCCTAGCCACTGCTTTTCTCGTAAAGATCTAGTCAATGCTATGATGCTAACCCACCCATAAAACTTGATCTTACACATTCAGTTCCCACCTTTGGCTACAGTAGCCTGATCCCCATTCTCATGTCTCCAAATTTACAGATGAAACCTTCTGAGAATTTAGAAGTTAGGAGAATGCTTCTTCACTTCTGACTCCTAAGATTGGAACTGGAGCTTATATCTCCTTGGAGGCCTGGTCTTTTTACCTGTGTGGCCATTATTGTGCAGGTCCAAAGGCTCAGTGCCAGGCTCTTCATATCCATGGGGCTGCAGAGGTAGCAACTCAGGGTCAAAAGTCACACTGCCTGTCTGAATGTTGATGGGGGACTGGGCGTTGCTTCCACACTCAGGGTAAGAGGCTGGCCAGTGGTCTTGACCATGTGGACCTGGTGGGGGTTACCACAGACATCTGTCCTGTCCTCCAGCCCCTAACCACCCTTCAGCAACCCTTCACCCAGCTTTACCCGTGTGGAGGCAGAAATGCACTTCTCTCCACCCCAGGTGAAGCCCCCAGGTGTGCGGGGCTGGGTGAGCAAGGAGCCCCTCCTGGACTTGCTGCTGCAGTCCCTTCACCTACGCAGAGGCGGTGATGATTCCCCAGCTCTCCTGATGAACGGGGAGCAGTTGCTTTTACTTACTTGTCTTCTTGTTGGAAGACAAGAAAGCTAAATGAGAGGAAGAGGGGATGGATAGAAAGCCCGCATACCCAGAAAGGTGGGATTTGAGTAGGAGCAGGAAAACTGGGGAAATGAAATGGTCCTAGAGAGGTAGGGTCTCCTTGGGGCCCCCCTATCAGGTGGCCTTAAGATTCAGATCTGCTGACTTTCCATCATTCACTTCTTGCTTTCGCACTGGACCTTGCATTGACTCTGGAATTCGGTTTAAGTTATTAATCAGAAACGCAAAGGAATCGGGTTCCACCTCTGCCAGGGTCACAAACTGTCCTGCCGACCTCTTCCTCACCCCTGACCTCAAGCTCTGTCCCAATTCCAGATTCAGGTGGGGGTAGGATCCATCAGGATAGAAAGCGAGCCAGGAGGAGAATTGGCAGCTAAGCTTATGGCGCCTTTCCCCACCCAGTTCCCTTTCCACTCCAGCTCCCTCATTCCCGCACAGATTGACTGAGGACATAACTGGTTTTTCTGCTGAATCAGGGTGTGTGGGATTTGATTGTTAGAACAGCGTCTAGGAATCATATATGTGAAAGCTGGGGCATGGGGAGTCGGGGAAGGAAGGAGCGAGGGTGAGAAGCTGGAGGAAACCTCCCAACCCACGTGGCTAAGTCTTCCCGCCAGGTGAAGAGGTCCCAGTGGGAAAGGGGTGTCGGTAGGCCTTGGGTTCTGCTCTCACCGTCATATGTCCAGTGTTGACCTGCAAGGTAGAATAATTTGAGTTACAGCCAGCGCAGCCTGGGGCAGGGCCCTCCTCCACCCCGCCCCCCTTTCTCCTCCCTCTGCTCTACCACTTCCCAAAGGAAGCCCTGAAACTGGACACCTCGGTGGAAAGGTCGAGGGTGGGGGGGGGCCCTATTTAAAATCACCAACCAGGCTGTGCTTGTGCTCGCTGAGTAAAGGGGGAGGAGAAATGAAAAGAGATAAAGCCAGGAGACTAAAATTAACCTGGATCCAAATGTGCAAAATACCCAACCCTCACTTTTCTACAGCCTCTGCCAAGCCAATCTAACTCTTAGAAGATGGGGCTGAGGTGATGGTGTAGGGTTTGGAAGAAAGGGACTGGAACAAAGAGAGGGGCAAGGAGTTCAGCGTGGGCGGGCAGTGCTGCTGAGGGGAGAGGGCCATTATTCCTTTGCTTGGAAGCATTGCACGAAAGAAGGCACTGAGCTGTGAATTAACATTTAAGTTCCTCCTCTGGTCCCAGGAACTCTAAAGGAAACTTTCCCCATCACCAGGAACCTCTGCTCCCTAGATTCCCAGATGGCTGGGGAAGGTGGGAATCGGGCAGGGTCCACTCCACGTTGAGGGTAGTGGGTGGGCACAGGCCGCCAGGCTGGCAGGGACAAGGATGAAAGTGAAGCGTTGTGTGTGGAAAAGGGCACTGCCAGCTGGGTCACATGCCAGGCTCTCGTGCAGTCCTGTCTCCAGCTAAAAGGTCGGGGGCCTGCTGGTCCAGCTCTCACCCAGGGCCAAACTGCTTCAAGGGGAAAGGGAGGCCTTCCTGTGGGTTGTCTCTGCATTATTCAAACTGCTAGAAACTTTGGAGAAAAATTCTAACTTCCTCCCTGTCTCTCTCTCTCTCTCTCTTATTCCCTTAAACAAACCCCTCAGACTTCTAAGATATCCTTGATCTCATCGTTGGGCTCTTCTCCTGGCCCATCCCTTCGTTCAGACAATTCTGAAAAGCAGCGCAAGGGAGGGCTGGAGGCAGCCTCTCACTCACCAGCTCAGTGGGACACTTCAACAACTCGAATTCCCTGGTTCTGGGCAGGCTGAGAGCCTTGCCCTTCCCCTCCCACCAAATCCTCAGCACAGTAGTTTTACATCTCTTCCTCCTTTTCCCCAATTGGTTCCTTTCTCCTCAGGTGCAATTTACAACTCTCCTCGGCTGGGTGCCCCTCACCATCATCTTCTTTGTGTTCCCCTTCTGCCCTCTAGATACCCCCCTCATCCTGTTCTTCCAACAAATTTTAATTACACACCTGCTATGTGCTAGGCACAGGGATCACAAAAATGAGGGCTAGGGGTTCTGGGGACATTCCTGGAGCACCTCGGCCTGTTCCCCCTCAAGAGTCCATCCTCCTCTCCTGGGAGTTCCTGAAAGTCCTGTGTAAATTGTAAAGGGCCCAAGAGTGTTGACTGTTATTGCTACAGCTTTCAGGAAAAACCGGGAAATTAGTCGCCCCATAGAACCGAGAGGGGACTTTGGCCATGAGGTTCATAGTCAGGGATCAGGGTGTGAGTTTGGCAGTAGGCAGGAGTATTCCCCCCACCCCATCAGTCCTCTATCCTTTCACTCCAGGCCTCTTTGGCTCCCTAATTGGATGAGTTTGTAGATAAAGAAGACCAGGAGGGTTGCCTGGGACCAGGGCAGTGGGGGAACGAGCTCCGGAGAGAATTTGCAGCCTGCAAAGTGACTCCCGCAGTGTGTGTACACATCCTGACCCAGGCTAGTTTGCCCCCAACCCCACGAACAGCAAGGCTGGAATGGCAAAGGGAAAAGAAGGAAAGTGGTCTCCTCCCCAGTCCTGTCTTTTCCCCTGCATCCCTGAGCCTATTATTCCAGCCCTAGGCTTCCTCTTACACTCCTCCTCCTCCATTAAGCATGCATGGCAACATGTGTACATCAGCACACACAGACACACACACAGACATCCAGATGTACCTACCCCCGTTGGCAGCCAGGGTCCAAATCACCTCTAGCAGGAGCGTGAAGAACAACATGGTATCCCTGGAAGAAACACAAGGTACTGGGAGTTTGGGGACTAGAGGACTAGGGCAGGGAGAGGGGGGAAGAGAGGAGGGGAGAGAGAGAGGCGGAGGGGTGGGGGAGAGAGAAGAGAAGTTTCCTGGAGTTGAGTGTATTTATCTTTTTCTCTTGCTTTCTTTGTGCCTCTGCGGGCTTCCAGGGGATTTGGTTTTCAGTGGGGTACCGTGAGTTTCCGGGTTCCCAGGATAAATCTCTCTCTGCCTCTCTTTCTGCCCTCTCTTTTTTATCTCCCTCTGCAGTCTTCACTCCACTTGCTGGCCAGCTACTTCACAATTGCCTCCCGCTTTTAAGGTGGCTCTGGACGGGTGTACGTGGGGAGTGGGGACTGTCTGGGTTGTTGGCGAACAGCTCCTTAAATAGCCGATTAAGCATGCAGGATGGCCTCGCTCAGAGTGCAGCACAGCGGGTTTCGCAGGGGACCTGGCCCTGGCTCAGGAGCGCAGCTGGGGTGAGCTCTTCCTTCCTCTGCTATTCACACAGACACTGTTGAGAAGGGTGTCCCCTGGAATGGGCGGGGGCAGGAACGGAGGGTTTGGGGGTCCGATCCTCTGGGGTCCCATCCAGCTCCCTCAGGGGTTCTTATTCCCCATCTGGCTTCTCCTCTGAGGAGCAACTCCCTGGATGGTGTAGGGCAGATGGTGGGAGGACCCGTTCCCCACGCCCTGCAGAATGTGAGTGCCCTGGAATAGGAAGAGTGCAGAGTTAGGAGAGAGGTAAACGAGGAGCTGGGAGACTCAGGGTGCGGGTGGAGGGGAGGAAGTCAAGGACCAGAACGTGGGGTGTGGAAAATAAGGAAGAGAAGTGAGGCAAAGGGAATTCGTTTGGAGCGATCTCCTTCTCCTGCGCCTGTCACCACCGGCTTCCCACGGTGAGGCTGGGTCCACGTGCCTGTGTGGCCTGGGAGGGGGGTGGTTTTGTTTGCTGAATAAAGCCCATTTGTGTGCCCAGCGGGGGGCGGGGCTGCAGCAACACCCTGGAGAGACAGCGGCTCCAACTGTGAGGCCCAGCCATCTCCCTCCCCAGGGAGCCCAGATCTAGGGCGGCTTTTGTCACCAAAGAGGACACTGACCCCTGGCACGGTGGCCAGGGCAGGAGGAGAGACGGGGTGACCTTAGAAACAATCACTACCACCATCAGAAAAAAGGCGGACTCCAGGGCAAGAGAGGGGAGGGAGCAGAGAGAGACCATGTGATCCTGTTGGAGTGGAAGAGGGGCCCAGGGTCTTCCCTCCTGTCCAACAAAGGGCTGAGGCAGGACTTTTGGGACTGAGTGAAACCTGCCACCAGAGAACTGGGCAAGTGGAGCATAGAGGCTGCCGAGTCTCAGGAATGTGGGCTGGTGTTTGTTCCCCCACGGGACTGGAAATCCCGATTGGAATGTACATCCTAAATCCCTCACTACAGAACGTGAAACCCAAAGATAACTTCAGGCCAGACTTTGAAATCTCTTTTTCCTGATACCCTTCACCGGAGTCACAGCCAGAAAGATGCACCCGTTTGAGCTCCTTCTGCCCTCCTTGCTTCTGCCAAGTAGCAATAAATAGCCAAAACAAAGGGAGCGGAGGCTAAATAAGGGTGCAGGATAAAAGCCAAGTGAACAGAATAATGCATCTGCTAGATCATCAGCCCCTGCAGAGGCAGGAGCCTACCATGCTTTTCTGTCCACTGTGGTTGATCTGCAAAGCAAAGCCATTTTGCAGATGTCATTTCCTTTTTAATTCTTTCATCACCCTCCAAATTACTTTTCCCTTACAGATAAGTTTTATGTTTCAATGTTCCCCCAAAGCCCCACTCATCCCATCTAAGAAGAAGAAAAGGCTTAAAGTGTAAATTATACTTCCTGGGAATCAGGACAGTTAACACAGAGGAACAGAAAAAAGAAAGAAAGCAGAGACATCTTTTGCAAGGTAGGAAAGAAGAGGCCCGGACAGAATGACCTCTGCCAGGACAGAGTTCCCCTGGAGTGTCTGGGGCTGTGATGCAGCCTCCCAAGGTAGGTAACGTGTCTTACCAGGCGCCACCTCCTGGTTGTCTATGAATTTTTTAATTTTTAAAGTTTCAATTCAAAATGTTTTGTGTGTGATTCCTTCTGGGAAGTGTTTCACTACTGGTGGGCTTTGGCATTTTGCCTACACAACTGAATAATGTTTCACAAAGATGTCTTAGCCCCAAATCAGCATCTTCCCACTTCTGAGTGAGCAGTCCCTCCAGGCCCTCATGCTTCCCAAAAGGACGAAGGCCCTGGTATCTAGGAGAGAGGGGGAAAGGAGGCAAACTCCAGGCACTTGCCTTTATTTATTTATTTTTTAAAATTTTTATTGGAGTTACCTTTATTTTTACCTTTGGCTTTACTGTGGATATTCCTGTTGTCACCAGGCTGATTTGGAGTAGTGTCAGGAGGACCCCTACATGTTAAAATAAAAAAACGCCCCCACAGTTGCTACTCAAACTCTGACGCCTTTGTTTTAATTCCTACTTCTCCCTCTAGCCCTTTGCTCACTCTGGGGTTGGCTGAAACCCTGCTAAAACCAAGTTCTGCTGCCTTCTGGCGCCATCTCCTGTCCTTCCAAATGCAGTGAAATATGAACCAGTCAGAGAGTCAAAGGTATCCAAGTGTGGTGACTTTTGGGTTTGTTTCTTCTTGCCTTGTTTTATTTATTTATTTACTCGGCTGTGCCGGGTCTTAGTCGCGGCACGTGGGATCTTTGTTGTGGCATGCATGTGAGATCTAGTTCCCTGACCAGGGATCGAGCTTGGCCCCTCTGCATTGGGAGCGTGGAGTTTTAAGCACTGGACCACAACGTAAGTCCCAAGGGTTTGTTTTTTTCTTAAGAGGTCCTTTTTTTTCTTTTTAATAAATTTATTTATTTATTTATTTTTGGCTGCGTTGGGTCTTCCTCTAGCTGCGGCGAGCGTGGGCTACTCTTCGTTACGGTGCATGGGCTTCTCATTGCGGTGGCTTGTTGCAGAGCACGGGCTCTAGGCGCGTGGGCTTTAGTAGTTGTGGCACGCAGCCTCAGTTGTTGTGTCTTGAGGGCTTCAGTAGTTGTGGCTCACGGGCTCTAGAGCGCAGGCTCAGTAATTGTGGTGCACGGGCTTAGTTGCCCCGCGGTATGTGGGATCCCGGACCAGGGCTCGAACCCATGTTCCCTGCATTGGCAGGCTGATTCTTAACCACTGCTCCACCAGGGAAGTCCCTTAAAGGGTCCTTTCTTAAAAGGATATTTAAACTTACTAAATACGGTAAATAGTCTAAAACACCTTGCAGTAACCCACTAAGTGCTCTGAGTTTGTGTGGTGGGGAATATGAGAGTTCAGCGAGGGAGGGAGGCAGATCAAAAGGAAAGAGGAATGGTCAACACAGAAATTTGCTCAAACAGTACAGGTGGTGACTAACTGCCTAGAAGAGAGAATCGATGAGGAGACAGAATTAGATGGATTCAGTTTCCTAAAAGGGCAAGCAACTTTGCGCCGTGAGTAACATAGTAACACAGAGTAGTAACATAGAGTAACATAGTAACATAGAGATAGTCTATTTTGATAATCGCATTTATTATCACACGCTTGTCTTCTAACACACTGGTACTGAAGGCCCTTAAGCAAACACAAAAGCTTTCAAGAATTAAAGTCAAAGTAATTTGGGGGAGGGGCTGGTCAGAACTCTGGATCATTTTCTCGGTTTTCCAGTTCACATCGCATGACAGATGCAGTATGAGAATCTTGTAGACAGAAGACAGGTCAAAGTTTGTGGTCTGAAATGTTGCAACTTTAATTAAAAAGGAGTAACTTTGTGTCATGCATTGATTCCATGCTCAGAACACTGCCTGGTACATAAATATTTGCTGATTGAATGAATGAGTCTAGTCACTGGAATATTTATTTACTTTCTTTCTGCCTTTTCCCAGAATTTTAGGCCAGGAGGGTCCTCAGGCATCATTTCAACTCTCTTGTTATACCCTATAAAGACTGAGTTTTGAAGGATTTATGGATTCTCCCATGGCTAGTCATAGAGCTGCTAAGCTAAACCAGAAAAAGGACATAGGCGCCATTGAACTTTCTCTTTTTGGTTTTCAAACGTCATTGTACATCAGAATCACCTGGAAAGCCTGTTAAAATTCGGATTTCTGGGCCTCTGACCCAAGGTTTCTGATTCTGTAGGTTTGGAGTATGTCCAGAGATTTGCATTTTTTGATAGGTAAAAAGTAGATTTATTAATAACGCTTTGTAAAGAGGTTGGAGGAAAATGGGGCACAAGAGGATGGTCATGTCCCAGGTCTTGGGCAAGTTCCTGGGACAGGCTGCCAAGTGAGGGTCCTTGGCTTCACTCAGGAAAGAATTCAAGAGGGATTCTTGAATCCCTGAAAGTGAAAGCAGAGAGACACATTCCATAGGCAGAATGTGGTCCTTCTCAGAAGGTGAGAACGGCCCAGAGACTTGCATTTCTAATAGGTCCCCTGGTGACCTGTTAGATGGTACTGGTCTGAGGGCCCACACTTGAGAATCAGTGCTCTACACCTATTGGAGGAGCAGAGGTGGTAAGGAGTTTGCTTTTTCTTTCTTTTTTTTGCCGCACGGCCTGGCTTGATCTTAGTTCCCCAGCCAGGGATTGAACCTGGGCCACGGAAGTGAAAGCACCAAGACCTAACCACTGGACTGCCAGGGAATTCCCAGGAGTTTGCCATTCTTTGTAGAGATTCCAGCCATCTGGAGTTGTTCTTGCCGTCCCTTCTGCAAAGGTTAGCGACAATACTTTCACTAGTTTACAAACATATATTGAGTACTTCTAGGTGCTAGGCAACATGGTAGGCCCTAGAAAGAAAAAATTAATGACATAATCCCAGCCCTCAAGAACTTCACAATCTCTTTAGGGGATGCAGATACCTTACCCAATTACTAGAATACAACAGTGAGAAGTTCTAAATAGTGGTAGAACAAAGTGTTATGTGAACCAAGGGGGGTGGACAATTGGCAGTGAGATTTTCTTTAGCTGATGTCAACAATCTTTCCAC